TGCCCCTGGGGAGGTCACTTGGGGGACACATGGCTCTGTCCCCCTTTGTCCCCAACCCTAGGACAGCGATTCTTGGCCCTTGGCAAGAACCAACTCAGCAAATCTCCCCCGATCCAGGCACCGGGATTGTAGGGGGAAGGAGGGGGACTCTGGGGCCGCCGTGCCCCTCCCCTGCCCGGAGGAGTCCTGCAGAGAGCCTGGGGAACAGGCGCGTCCCCTGGGTGCCACACAGCCCCTAGACCCCCCTGGACGCCCCGTGGGGGTGTCCCCCTGCTCTTACCTTCTCCCTCTCCTCGCTTCGCCCCAGCTGGACGAGCCCAGCCAAGACAAGGGGCAAAATCCAGCTGCTGCGGGAGCAGCCCGCCATGGCGGGGCGCGGGGTGCGGGGTGCCAGCACCCCCTGGCAGCCCGGGCGAGCGGCCGGGACAAGCGCCGCTGTCGCTGCTGTCACCTCGGAGCCCGGCGGCCGGGAAATAGCTGCGGGGCTGCGAGGGGGGAGCCAATGGCCGGGGGGGGCCGGGCCGGGCCGCGTTAACCGTGTGGGCTCTGGGACGGACACACGGACAGACACCGCCCGGGGGTGGCACCGCGGGCTGGCGGGGACCGGGGCACCCGGGGGGACACGGGGCAGCGGCATGTGCCCAGGGTTTATGCAACGTGTTACCCGAGCCGGGATTAAACCGCAAGGTGGGGGGAGAGGTTTAGGGGGAAAGGGGGGACGGAGGTGGCGGTGGCGGGGTGCCCCATCCTGCGCAGGTCACCCAGCCAGGTGACATTTCCGCTCCAAGCGGGGTGCTGGCACCCGAGGAGCAGGGACAAAGCCAGCAGCAGCCTCGGGGAGGCCGGGCTGGGGCTCGGTGGGTGCCCCCAATGGCTGCTCGGGCTGGGCTGGGGAAGGCTGATCCTGCTCCGCTCCTTTGTGCCCGGTAAAGGAAGGTGCTGCTAGAGGCAGCTCTGGAGGAGGATCCCTCCTGCCAGGGGCTGCTCTGCGGCTCGGGGGCTGTGGCACCACGGTGACCCTGCTGGGATCAAGGGCAGGGCCCTGCAGGGTGTCCCATGGGGCAGGAGTTTCCACGGTCCTGTGTGCTTAGCCAAGGAATGTGAACATTTACCCTGGGCTGTCTCCAAGGAAAATATCGGTGGTGAGGTGTAAATTCCCTGAAATCTCCCCAGAAAATTATTCCGTGGGAGAGTTAACTGGCTGGAGGGGAGCTGGGGGAGTTGTGGTTTTGGGGTGAGGCTGGCCTGGGGTGGAGGACACTATGGGGTGGCAGTGGGTGAGCCCTGGGGGGACCATGAGTGCCAGCATGAGGTTTAGCTTTACTAGAAAGCAGTGTCAGCCCTGCCACGATACTGTCACTGAGCCAGCTGCTGGAGATGCCACCAAGGAAGGGGAGTGAGGCCACGGGTTAAGAGGAAGCTGGAACCAATCTCCCAGTCAGTGTTCTTTGCCAGAAGGAACACCACGTCCTGGGAAAGGCTGGTGTTGTGAGGCTCCAGCTGCAGCCTCAGCTGGCGTGGGAGGGCTGGGGTTGAGTCCATCTCCCAGGCACACAGGGAAGCCACAGAGCAGGGGAGCTGTGGGTTTCTCTGTCACTGGCAGCATTTCCCAAAGCTTTAAACCTGCACTGCTACTGTCCTGCCTAGACCCCAAGCAGTGTGGGGTGTTCCCCCAGGCCCAGGCAAACTCACAGGGTGCTCAGCCACTGCCTGGGGACTGCACAGAGCCCATCACAACATGCCAAGAACCAGGCCAGCCACAGGGGTGCTCCGGTTGACTCTCACAGATATGGCTGTGAGTGGCTCCTTGCCAAAACCTGTAGGAGCCAATACCCAGGGTTTGACCCTCCCCACTTGCTTCCCAGGCTCTCGGGAGGTTTGAGGCCATTGGGGCTGCAACTCCTGGCTTGCACATCTCTGCATTCTGCCACCAACAAGGACCAGTGTGTGCCCAGTGCTGTGCTCCGCAACACAGCTCGCACTTCAGAGCCTGACCAGGGCTTGAGCTGCCTCCTGCAACAGAGCTAGGACAGGCCTGGGGAGCTGCTCAGGACTCCGTTCCTTACCCTACTATTTCTCACCCACATCTAGTAATAGTGGTATGTGGCACAGTGTGGTTGTGTCCCTTCCACGTGTCCCTAATCCCTGCCACGAGCAGTGAAAGTCTGAGTCACTCCTGAACTCAGTTTTCCTAAAACCAAAACAAAAATAAGTGACAGTTTATCCAAGTCCTGCCTCCTTGGGTTGCAGTGCCAAATCAGCCCTGGTGGAGGCTGGGAATGGGGAAGGAGTTAATGAGACACAGGCAATGGACTCCCTCTCTGCCACTGACCTTCCATGGCATCCCGGGCATGTCACCCAGTGTTCCCAGCCTGCTGTGCCACGTCATGCTGGAGGCTGCATGGGAGGGCCAAGGGGGCCAGGGATTCCACCAAGGCTCTGCTGCTCCACGCTGCAGGATTGGGGTCCCCCACCCCAAAAAGCAGCTGAGCAGGGCGGGCTGACCCTCGCACGAACCGTCCTGCTCGGTTGTTTTTCCAGCAGAGCCGGACGGGAGCCAGCTCACGCCTGCAGCAGATGTTTGGCAGCAGTCCGGGGTGGGAGGCCAGGCGCTTCCAGCTCCCTGGCCACCATGCTGCCACTGCCACCAGCCTCCCTGGCTGTCCCTGAGCCACATGCAGGGGCTGCAGAGACCTTGTGCCAGGCTGCAGGGCCCCAGCTGAGGAGAGGAAATGTGAAAGCAGTGGTGGGGACCATCCAGTGCTGCCTGCTGGGTTTATCCCAGAGCTGACTGAGAAGTATTTTCATGCAGAGGGACGGGGATGGTGCCAGCAGCGTGGCAGGGAGCTTGGGGAGCAGCAGGCAGCATTGCCCTGGCTAGCAGCAGTGCAGCTTCCCTCTGGCAGCCTGGCCTGGCATCAATCCCAGGGCAACCTCTGAACGTTTGTTCTAAGTGTGTGACGGAAGCAAAAGCATAGCAAGCTCTGCCAGGCGAGAGGCCCCAGTTCTTTGAGCACCAGGCTGCCAGCCTGCCCAGCCCTCACTGCTCTGCCCCAGCCCGTGTGCTCCCACACACTGCCTTGGTTCAGCAGCAGCCTCCCTGTTGGCCACGGTGCCCAGCACCCTTTGGAGTGGGGGTCCCTCTTCCCAAGTGCCCCTGCAGCCCCCTGGCTATGTGCTCTGCCCCCTCCAGCATTGCCATCCCTTCCTTTTCCAGGGGAAGATTTGCTCCCTGTAGAAATGCCCCTGGTCCATTGTCCCCCCTTCCCCCTGCAAAGGGAGTCTGCCCAGAAGCAAGGTGAGAGCCAGCATCGTGTGTCCCCTTCTCCCTTCTGCGACTGCCCCATCTGCCTCTCCCAGCAGCAGCCCCCACGGGCCAGCAGCCAGCTCCTGGCACATGCCAGCACCTCCAGGGAAGCATCCCAGTGGATGCTGAATCACTTCAGTGCCCGCATCACCCTGCCTGCTACAGCGTCACCGGAGCAGGACCCGCTTCTCAACAGAAAGGCATTTTTCCTTGGCAAAACTCCATGCAAACACTGCCTCCAAGTTCCAGCACTGTTCAGACACTGAAGCCAGGGCCACAGGGGGATTTGGTTATCTTGCTTCATCCTGGAGGAGGAATTTCTAACTTGACAGTGTTGGAAATCCAGTTTAAATTCATTCTCCACCATTTTAATGCTTTAAAAAATGTCGTGGCTTCCCTCTGCTTTACCACTGCTGCCATTTAGCTCCATGTTTGTTGTTGTTACGAGCAAATCCATCTTTCCAAGGCCTTTCCTGGAAATGTTTGTCACGGGTTTGAAACTTCCCAGTAAATTCATACCAAGAAAGGAAATCTCTCAATTCCCTCTGCTGCTCTTGACAAGGGGAAGGCAGGGGTGGGAACAGCAATCATGTATGGTTGTGTGGATAGGGGGAGAGGTTTTCCATGCTTTTCCTCCAAACCAGGCTTCCTTCCCAAACCACTCCAATGTTTGTGGCTTTTCCCCTATTCCTCTCATACCAAAGCTGCTCAGATCTAATTCCTGGTGCTGCTGGCCATCCCCACATAGTCCCCAGGGAAGCAGTGCTTGGGTGGAGCACGGGGGAGAGCAGAGCCAGGGCTGCTCCCACCCTGCACATTTGTAATGTCCTCCAGCTGCTGCTGCACCATGCCAGCAAGGGAGGGAGAGAGGAAGAAAAACAGGAAAATAACGCTGGTTATTTTCCTCAAACTCTGCAACTCGAGAGGGGAAGAGAGAGTTGACAACTCGAAACAGAAATATGTTTTTTGGCTGGGCAAGGAATAAGTGTCTGCTCCCTCCCAGCACAACCACAGCCAGTGGCTCCAGTGCAGGCACTTCTGCTCCCCAGGGTCTGCATCCTGGTGCTAGGCTCCTTTCCCAAGGTGGAAGGTGTTTGCCCAAGGTCCTGCTTCTCTGGAAACCTCCTGCCCCTCTGGCCCCACCACCCAGTGTAAACCAAATCTGGCTGCTGTGGATCAAGCCACACAGAGTTTCCAACACTGCAGGGCTGGTTGCTCTTTTCAGCACAGAAAATAGGATTTAAATAATTCCCACCAGCATCACCATAGTGTTTCCCACATCCTTCCTGATTCATGCTGCTCGTTTGTGACCTTCCTTGCTGTGAGTCACCAAGACGCCGCTGTTTCAGCTCCAGGGCTCCTGCCACACTGACCCAGCACAAGGCTGGTGTGAAGGAAGTGGTGCCTGTCACCCAAGTGGGAGAAAAACAGCCACAACCGTTGTCAGAAAGTCTTGAGGGATCCTTGCCACCCACTCTGTGCAGACTGAGGTTTGCCCTCCTGCAGCGTGGGGCTGGGCTGGCAGTGAGCTTCCTGCTGGGCTCCAAGGCCGGGGAGAACCCCAGGGACCTTGAGGCAAGGCAGTGCAGGAGGTCAGGGCAGGGAGAGTTCCTGGAGAGGCTGCAAAGTATCTCAGATCCTGCAGAACCAGACACCACCTGTAGTGTGGACAGAGCTGCATGACACACTCACATAAAGGATAAAGTCCATTTATTTCATAACAAAGGGCAATACAACAGCTTACATGATCCCTTGCCACTGGCTGGGCACAAACCTGCTCCTCCTGCTTCACCTGCCCAGGTGAGGCATGCACAGACTCCCCAGCAAGGCTGGTGTGCTAGGAAACAGTGGGAGCTCTCACTGTCAGGAGTGGGGAGTGCAGACAGGAGGGCTGGCAGGAACTGCACACACTCCTCTGCCCCACAAGACCCAGAGGAGCCAAGAGCCCTGCAGGATTTTCCTACATTTCAGCAGATAATGGGTAGAGGAGAAGCTGGTGCCAGCTGCACGTCTGCTGTGCAGCCAGCACAAGCTTTGTCACTGATGCTTTTAGCCAAGCACTAAATGCATAACCAGAAGCCACATCCATCTTGCTTTGACTCTTTTTTCCCCAACTACCTTGACAGCTGGGACTCCAAAGAAGAGATAACTTTTTCAGGCATTTCCACTCCTTGCTGCTTGCCTGGGAGGAGACAGTGTCACCAGTGAAGGTGAGACCAGCCTGCCTCCCTCATGGGAGTGAGATATTTCCAGCTGGACATGTCCTCAAAGTCACACCTCTCCCCACTGCTGCCCACGCTGTCATTTCCCCCACAGTCCCTGAGCACTCAGTAGGCAAAATGAGCAGTGAGAGCCCGGTACAGGAGCAGGTCTGGGTGCTGGCCCAGCCCAGCTCCTGCCCAGGCTCCCCAGCTCTCAGGGTGCCCTGTCAAGGTGCCTGGCACAGGGTCCCATGGCTGTAGCCCCCAGCCCAGCGAGCTGGCCGTCCCCCAGTGCCCGTGGCTCACACGATGCCGTTGCGCGTGGGGTGTGTTCGGACTCGGTAGATGATGACGGCAGTGGCCGGGCACAGCACCAGCACTGTCATGATGAGGATGGTGGCCAGGATGATCAACACGATGACCCAGATATCCAGGATGTGCTTGGGGAGGTCGGTGGGACTCGTGAGGTGAGGGAGGTCCATCCTGCAAGGAAAAGGCAGAGGGGTGGTGGGGCAGCCCCCTCCATCCTTCCTAGTCCCCTGCTGCTCTCTCCAGGGACACCCCTGTGGCCAGGTCCAGCTTTCACCTTGGGCTCCTTCGAGAGCCTTTGGTAAAGGCTCCTTCAATTACCCGCAGGATTTACAGCATGCTTTAAAGGCACTGGATAAAAGCCCAGGGAAAAACTTCCCTATTAATTGCTACTGTTTGTTATAGGAACTGATAAAGGAAAGCCACGACCGGGTGGGTGTCCCGCTGGTCACTCCCCGGTCAATCATCACTGGGATGGGAAAATGGTGGGGACAGGTCAGCCGGGAGCCCCCTTGTTTCTGGGGAGCCTCGTGCGTGTCCCCCCACCCGCACCTCGTGCTGAGTCACGGAGTTATCCATCAGCTGAAAGGGACGGAGGGGCCGGGGAGCGGGGACCCCTCCCGGGGACCGTGGCTGTGGCCCCGTCCTGCCCGGCCCCTCGGGGCTGGGGGACACGAGGGGGAGAGGCGGCAGCTGCCCGTGCCCTGCATGCCCTGTCTGTGTCCTGTCTGTGCCCTGCATGCCCTGTCTGTTCTCTGCCTGCCCTGCCTGTCCTGTGCGTGCCCTGCCTGCCCTGCCCGTGCCCTGCCTGTTCTCTGCCCGTGCCCTGCCTGTTCTCTGCCTGCCCTGCCCGTGCCCTGCCCGTGCCCTGCCCGTGCCCACCTGCCCGCATCCCCTTACCTGCGGCGCTGCCAGGCTCCGGCACCCACTCCGAACCCGGCTCCGGCTGCAGCTCCTGCGAGGAGATCCCGCCGGGAGAGAAAGACTCCCGCCGGGAGAGAAAGACTCCGCCTGGCCCCGCCCGGCCCGCGGGGGACGGCAGGGGAGGAGAAGGAGGGGAAGGGGATAGGAGGAAGGGGAAGGAAGGAAGGAAACGCAAAGCACGGCAGGACGTTTTTTCTACAGCAGGAAAAAATAAGAACACGCTCCGTCTCATCCCACCCACAGTGGAGATCCGCTGGGGGAGTGCCTTTGGAGCTGAACCCGAAGGTCTCATGGAGGGACCGTGGGGACATTTAACTTCACAGTCGTTAATAAAGGATTATTAACCACACTGTGACTCTCCTGCCTCAGCAGGGCTCACAGGCACCCACTTTGTCCCCGAGGCCCAGGGCAATAGCACCCCGAGCCTCCCCAGCCGCCCGCAGCGAGGTGCCCGCACTCCCCAGGGCTTCGGGCAGGGTGGTGTACAGAGACACGGGCAGAGAGCATCGCCAGGGAGGGGACAGAGCTCAGCCCGCCGGCTGGGAACGCTGTTTCTGCTGCTCAGTTGAATATTCCACTCCACTGGTGATGCTGAATGGCAAAAGCAAGATGGGATGCTCCGACTTTCCTTCTGGGACGCAAGCTCAGTGTCAGTCACGGTGAGGGTGAGAGCCACACACTGCCTTTCACTCCTGCCTTTTCCCAGGGAAACCTGTTGGGTTTCAGGTGGTGATAAACCCTACCGCATGCTCTCCAAGCACCCCTGGCCTCCAGGCACCCTTGGGCATGCAGCTCTGCCGGGGGCAGTTCACAGGCAGCCTCCTCCCTGCCCTCCCAGCAGAGCTCCCCTCCAGCTGCTGCAGGAGGATAAAAACCGTGGGGTTTTTATCGTGAGCAGAGCAGCGGCACATCCTCATGGGCAGGGGTTTCCTGGGGAGCTGCAAGCGGCGGGCCGAGGGCAGGGACTGACTGCAGGCGCTGTGTGGGGATGGATCCTGGGCTGAGGATGGGGAATTCATGCCACAGGCCAGGCTGGCTCTGGTGCTTCTTTGGGCTTATCCAGCAGCAGACTGGCAGTGGTTTGCTGATGCCAGCTCTGCCCTCCTTGCACACAGCAGAGCATCCACAGACCTCGTGCTTTCCTGCTGATCCCACACATGGGAATGTTCATTCTTCTCAGGACCCTTAGTGGACATGAGACTGAAGAGAAACCCCCTTTGGGGTGTGAAAAGATCACCCTCTCTGCTCTGCTCTGGTGAGACCCACCTGGAGCTGTGTCCAGCCGCAGTGTGAGAAGGACACGGAGCAGCTGGAGTGGCTCCAGAGGAGGCCATGGAGATGTCGCGAGGGCTGAGCTCCCTGCTCTGGAGCCAGGCTGGGAAAACTGGGGATGTCTGCCTGGAGAAGGCTCCGGGAGACCTCAGAGCCCCTTCCAGTGCCTACAGGGGCTCCAGGAGAGCTGGGGAGGGACTTAGAACAGGGGCTCGGAGTGACGGGGTGAGATGGAACCGCTCCCCACTGCTACAGGGCAGGGACAGATGGGACACGGTGAATAAATCCTTCTCTGCGAGGATGGCGAGCACGGGCACACAGCGGCTGTGCCCGCCGCAGCCCGGGCCGTGCCCAAGGCCGGGCTGGGCGGGCTCGGGGAACGTGCCGCTGCCACGGCACGGGCGGGACCGGGGGACACCGGGAGGGACCGGGCAGCACTCGGTGGCACCGGGCAGGACCGGGCAGCACTCGGTGGCACCGGGCAGCACTCGGTGACACCAGGCAGCACTGGGTGACACCTGTCGGGACCGGGCAGCACTCGGTGGCACCGGGCAGGACCGGGCAGCACTCGGTGGCACCGGGCAGCACTGGGTGACACCTGTCGGGACCGGGCAGCACTCGGTGGCACCGGGCAGGACCGGGCAGCACTCGGTGACACCGGGCGGGAGCGGGCGGGACTGAGGGGCCGGCCGGGCCGCAGGGCCACGTGACCGTGCCGGCGCGGTGACGTCAGGCGGCGGCGGCGCGGCGGAGCCCGCCCTCCGCCAAGATGGCGTCGCTGCTGCAGTCGGAGCGGGTGCTGTACCTGGTGCGCGGAGAGAAGGAGCTGCGGGCGCCGCTGCCGCAGCTGTACTTCTGCCGCTACTGCAGCGAGCTCCGCTCGCTCGAGTGCGTCTCGCACGAGGTAACGGCGGACCGGCCGCGCCGCGCCCGCGCACCGGGCGGCACCGGGCGGCCCCGGGCGGGACGGTGCTCTCTCTGCGCGCAGTGATTGGGTCGCTCTCCTGCCACTCACTCGCTTTCTGCTTTGCTATTGGTTGTTGGCGCGACTGGCGGGTGGGCGCAGCGCTGCACGGGGCGCGGGGATTGGTGGTGAGTGACGGATGGGGCGGGACTGCGCGGTGGATTGGCTAAGCGGGCTGTCCGTCGGCGGAGCTCGGGCTGTGATTGGCTGGGGCGAGCGCACAGGGCGGATTCCCCTCATGAGGGACGAGCCCCCCAAAACGGGCCCGGCCGGGGCCGCGGGGACCCCTCACCCTCACGGGGACCCAGCCCTTGGGTCAAGACTCCCCCCCCCCACACCACACTCGTGCCCATCGGGCCCGGCCGTGGAGGGGCAAGGACCCCCCCAAGACTCTCCCCCCTCCTCGATTTTTTTTTTTTAATTTTTTTTTTGTTTTTTTTTTCTGTGGAGGGATTGTGTTTTTTGCAGCTGCGATTTCTGGAGGCGGAATTTGCTTCATAAATTGTCATAATAAAATCGCCAAGCCTGGTTTTGTGAAGCCTGGTAGAATTGAGAAATTGTGATAGATTTGGGAAGCCTTGAAAGAATGACTGTGCAGCCCAGATCTCAGAATCTCTCATGAAATGTTAAGGTCTCTGAAGAGTGGATTTGTGACCTGGCTGTATCTGTCACGCATTCGCTGTGGTGTGAGCAGTGTAGTCATTGTGCGTGGCCATGCTTAATAATCAGTTTGAATTCCTCATCAGGAAAGGGCCCCAGTCTTGCTGCTGTCGTTTTAATTGACAAAATTCACTGTGACAGCAGAGAAATACAAAGCATCTTCTGAAATATGCATGTATCTGACCTGTGTAACTGCGAGGACAGAATAAATTTAGGTGTAAATAAAAAATAAAATGTTAAAACTTTTGTTCAAGCTGAAAAATGAGATTCTGGTAACTGCTAAAGGTCAACACCCAGCTGATCTTTTCCCATTTACAAGGTGGAGTAATTTAATCCATTCTGACATAAGAAACCTTATAATTTATGTTATTAAAGATCAAAATCTGGCTGAGATGGGCTAAGGTTTTGCATACCAATAAACATCTCAAGCCTTCCCTGGTTTCACCCTGCTGTTGCAAGACACGAATCCTTGTTGTATCATGTGGCAGTTTGGGGCTTTTTGGACAAAGGTGTGCCAGATAATGTTTGTGATGTGGCTGTGTCTTCTTCAGGTTGACTCTCACTACTGCCCCAGCTGCCTGGAAAACATGCCTTCAGCTGAAGCCAAGCTGAAAAAGAACAGGTAAAATTGCTTTGGATTTTTTTTTTCCCCACCAAGGCTCCCTATTTAAAACAGTCCCTTCCCATGTCTGTCTGAAATTCTTCAAAAACTACATGGCTTCTTGTTGTGTTTGAGTCTAGTTTGGTGAGTAAGAGTCTTTCCATGATGTACCATGTGCTGTTCATGACTTTTGGGTGCATTTTTATGACTTGGGCTCATAATACAGATGTTTTTTAGTATCACATTACGTTTCTCACTGCTGACTCTGAATCCCCCAAGTTCCCGTGTCAGCTCGTTATCCCTAGTGCTGCTGCCTAGGAGTTGATGGTCTGTTGGTTTAGTGCTGATGTGGTAGTTGGGAGCATTTCTCTCAGCCTGGGACCCTTCTCAGGGCGCTGCCTTGTTGTTGCAGGTGTGCCAACTGCTTTGACTGCCCCTGCTGCATGCACACCCTCTCCACGCGTGCCACCAGCATCCCTGCGCCGCTGCCCGACGACCCGGCCAAGACCACCATGAAGAAAGCCTATTACCTGGCCTGCGGCTTCTGCCGCTGGACTTCCCGGGACGTGGGCATGGCAGACAAGTCTGTTGGTAAGGCACGGTTGAAAGACACACAGCTTGGTTACAGCACCAGCCCAGTTTGTGTTTTGAAGAGAATCCAGACTGTGCTGTAGACTTGGTACCTGGTGAGGATAGGAGTTGTAGTTGGAAATTCACAGGAAATCTCCTTGTTGCTGAAGACTCCTCTGAAGAGCTGAGCTGAGTTAGTGAAATGTGTGACCCACTTTCATGCCTGTGTTACCTGACTAGTGAGAAAACTGTCAAACTGTTTTAGTCAGTTAATCTTGTTTGTGTGCTTTCACAGGCTTTGAAGTTGCTCAGTCTGACAGCATAAACACCTAATTTATTTTCCATCTCTTTTGTTCACTTAGACTTATTCCAGAGTTGCTAGTCAGTTTTTGAACTTGGCTTTTCTCTTCACAAGAGCACTAGAACAAAGGTTTCATCTATTTTTTGGTATGTGAGATGTACAGAAAATATCTGTCAGGTGGGGCTGAGTAGGCCAAGTAGATCTGCTGACTTCCAGTGTTAATGTGACTTAAAATGGAGCTGAGGATGCAGAGACAGCAGCAGCCAGCAATAAGAGACACATATAAACACTTGTACCTGCTGCTGAAGTGACTCCTAGGTGCTGTCCTGAGTATCTCTCAAGCAACATTTGTTTAAAAACACAGTATAAAAGCTGTCAGAGCTCTTTCATTCCAAAACTGCCTGTGCAACTCTTTCAGAGGTTTATATTTGCACAGACATGAACTTAAACAATTGCAATGGTAGGTGTAGCAGTAGCAAAAATAGGGAATGTCATAATTTATAAATAACACCAAGATAGTTCAGTGTTGGGTGTGATTTCTGTGTGGCATCTCCTATAGACTTTGCTTTTTCTCTTCTCTTGTGCAGCAAGTGGCGGCTGGCAGGAGCCGGAGAATCCTCACACACAGAGGGTGAGTGAGGGGGAAAGCTGTGCTTGGGCTGAAATGCATCAGCCAGAAAGAACTGTTGGAGTGTCAGGCCCTCTCAATCACTTTTTCTGCATCTATATAATCCTTCAGATACCAGTTCCAGTTCCTAATCTGCACCTTGACTGAATTCAATGGAGGGAAGGCCTCTTAGAGGCTCCCCTGAGGATATCGCAGTATAAAATCTCCTTTTGAGAAGAAGCTCAGTTGAAACCAACCTATCTAATGGTGCTGTTAAGGTGAATGTG